CAGATTTTTTTTGCAGTCAGGTTCAATGAACTACATACTACCTGCGTGTTTCTTTTTTTTTAAGAGAGTATCAATATTGGAGTTTTGGGTTATGTTTCGAAAAGCTGTAACACCATTTGCGTGGAATTCAGCTGTGTTCAACCATCCTCATAGGTAACGCCACAGTTAACGAGGGGCGGTCGGGTAGCCTAGTGGTTAAAGCGTTCGCTCGTCACGCCGAAGACCCGGGTTCGATTCCCGACATGGGTACAATGTGTGAAGCCCATTTCTGGTGTCCACCGCCGTGATATTGCTGTAATATGGATAAAAGCGGCGTAAAACAATACTCACTCACTCACTCACTCACAGTTAACGATACGCCTGTACTTCCTTGCGATCTCTATCATTGACACACGGACGTTATTTGCCATTACCTCTGACAGGGTACATGATCATGACCTTCCTTATACTTGGGCAGAAGAAAATAGTAAAGGGGATTAGATTTGTGTTTTCTTCGTGGGAATATAATTGGAGTTAAGATTGGGGTTTTGGCTATAGGAATTTGGGGTTTGATATAGGAATTTGGAGTTAGGTTTCGAAAAGCTCCCGACTATTTGCTGTGGTTATGCTGTAAATATGCTTATAACGAACTACGGTTATAACGAACTGATATTAGTAGTCCCTTTGAGTTCGTTGTAACCGTAGTTTACTGTACTGAAAAAGCCACAGTTAATGACCACATTCGCAATGCATCTTGGTACTGTGTGGCTGTTGGAGGAACTCCCATGCTTACAATGCGAGAGTTCTAGTGCTGGTATCACTTTATGGAACGGGGACCTTGGCTACAAATCGAAGTCAGCCGTCTAAACATCATTACTACAAAGCATACATGAATATCTGTGCGAATGATTGGAGTTGAATTTCGTGTCACTAGCCTAAGGATGATCACAGCTTCATGATCAGAATCAATTTCAATCTTTGTCAAGAAAAAATACAGTGATTAGATTCGAGGATTAAGGTGTTTAAATCCGGGGTTTGGGGGTAGAGTCGTGTTGTTTTTCTTCACTTTTAGGGGCCGAGATTTTTTTCTGAAAAGAGAGCTGAGATTTTTTTTACGGCACATTTCAAATTCAATCCATGAAAAGAATGTTCAAATTATCTCACTGTTCACTGAAACATAATAACTTTGCAGAGGTGTTGATTTTAAAACAGAACAATGAAAATAGCAGTATAATAAACCATTTTATAAAAGAATAAATAAAGACCATTTTTACAACACCATGTGTTGCAAAACACAGTCAACTTGACACGTTTGGAGGAATGTTCTTTTCAATTACTAAGATGATGTGGATGATGGACATGAGTAGCATAACTTTTGAGATCAACTGACGAATATAAGAAACGTTACCAAACTGAAAGTTGGACAAACCAAACCAAACCCTGGACAGTTTTACAAAATGGTTGGGAATCAATCGACCAAACACAACAACAACAGTTTGCTGAGTAATGCACGTGTTTCATTACCCAGATCAGTGGAACTTGAGTTTGAAGTAATTTTTTTGCTGCAATTGCAGCACGCAAGCCTACAAAGATATGGATATAAAAGAAACGATGTACTGTTCATTCACACCCAAACCGTTGGACAGTCACAAATAACATGCTGATATTAATGGGACTGAAAGAACAAGCCTTGGTAGGATACATAAAAAAGCAGCGCATGACCACGTTGAGTTTTGGCTGTAACCGAATGACAGTCACCAGGCAGATGGTCCGTTGTTGACGTCGTTGGTGAGGTGGCAGCCTTGGCCAACGCCACAACTAGCCATGCACCATAACAATACCCCTGAAGGTCGTGGAGCTTTTGCCCAAAGGCATTTTAAAAATATTGAAAACCAAGTACTTAGTAAAATTCATTTCTCCAATCACAGAGATCAGTTTTTTGCCTCAGTTTGTCAGAAATTATTACATATTTGTAGCATCTGGCATCGCCCCCCAAAGGTTATGGCTTTGCTCTGTCAAAGGTTATGGCTTTGCTCTGTCAAAGGTTATGGTTTTGCTCTGTCAAAGGTTATGGCTTTGCTCCGTCAAAGATTATGGCTTTGCTCCGTCAAAGGTTATGGCTTTGCTCTGTCAAAGGTTATGGCTTTGCTCCGTCAAAGATTATGGCTTTGCTCCGTCAAAGATTATGGCTTTGCTCCGTCAAAGGTTATGGCTTTGCTCCGTCAAAGGTTATGGCTTTGCTCTGTCAAAGGTTAAGGCTTTGCTCTGTCAAAGGTTATGGCTTTTCTCTGTCAGAGGTTGTGACTTTGCTCTGTCAAAGGTTATGGCTTTGCTCCGTCAAAGATTATGGCTTTGCTCCGTCAAAGATTATGACTTTGCTTCGTCAAAGGTTATGGCTTTGCTCTGTCAAAGGTTATGGCTTTGCTCTGTCAAAGGTTATGGCTTTGCTCTGTCAAAAGTTATGGCTTTGCTCCGTCAAAGATTATGGCTTTGCTCTGTCAAAGGTTATGGCTTTGCTCCGTCAAAGATTATGGCTTTGCTCTGTCAAAGATTATGGCTTTGCTCTGTCAAAGGTTATGGCTTTGCTCTGTCAAAGGTTATGGCTTTGCTCTGTCAAAGGTTATGGCTTTGCTCTGTCAAAAGTTATGGCTTTGCTCTGTCAAAAGTTATGGCTTTGCTCCGTCAAAGGTTATGGCTTTGCTCTGTCAAAGGTTATGGCTTTGCTCTGTCAAAGGTTATGGCTTTGCTCCGTCAAAGGTTATGGCTTTGCTCTGTCAAAGGTTATGGCTTTGCTCTGTCAAAGGTTATGGCTTTGCTCTGTCAAAGGTTATGGCTGTGCTCTGTCAAAGGTTATGGCTCTGCTCTGTCAAAGGTTATGGCTGTGCTCTGTCAAAGGTTATGGCTGTGCTCTGTCAAAGGTTATGGCTGTGCTCTGTCAAAGGTTATGGCTGTGCTCTGTCAAAGGTTATGGCTGTGCTCTGTCAAAGGTTATGGCTTTGCTCTGTCAAAGGTTATGGCTTTGCTCTGTCAAAGGTTATGGCTTTGCTCACGAAATATTCTGTACTGATGATGATGGCTATATTGTGGTCGAGACTTTTATGACAATTAAGACAATTGTAGTTTTAGTTTCAGTCACAGGCATATATATATATATATATATATATATATGTCTCTGTGTGTCTGCATATATGTATGTGAATGTGTGTGTGTGTGTGTGTGTGTGTGTGTGTGTGTGTGTGTGTGTGTGTGTGTGTGTGTGTGTGTGTGTGTGTGTGTGTGTGTGTGTGTGTGTGGTGTCTTCCCCTTAAAATTACTACGACTTTCATGATTAACCATCTATGATGCCTGCTCTGTTTAAAGGTGTTTAAAGGGAAGTTGGACACGAGTTGGAGTAGTCACAATAGGTAAAAGACAATGTTGTACTTATTTGATTTATTCATTTGTATATTCATTTATTCATAATAGGGTCGGTGGGGTAGTTTGGTGGTTAAAGCGTTAGCTCGTCACGCCGAAGAACCGGGTTCGATTCCCACATGTGTGAAGCCCATTTCTGGTGTTCCCCGCCGTGATACTGCTGGAATATGGCTAGAAACGGCGTAAAACAATACTCACACACTCTTTATAATAGAAGGTATTATCAGTGATTGTCGTGAAAGTAAGGAATATAAGTACATGCATATATTTTTTTTTCAACAATTGTTTATAAAATGTCACCTTTATCTACCGTGTCTTAAATTTCCCGATATGTTGAACACTAGTTGTTCAGTTTTATTTTGATTTAAACATTGAAACGCATGATATTTGTTAAAAAGTTTACGGCAATACTGACAGGGAGCTAGACCACTGCTTTTCAGCTTTGGTGTAATAGACTTTACAAACAAAAAGGGGAGCAGGGGCGATGATAGTCCTGCACCATGACCGTGGAATATATTTATTTTATGAAAAAATAATAATTTAGAAATGCATACAAAAGCAAGTCTAGCCAGCTCAAGCTAGCTCTAATCAGCATAGGGAAAAAATTTTATTTTTAGAGTCAAGAAGGATATTGTGTAATATAAGATTTCAGAGACTAAATGTTAGTCTAGGGCGATGAGACAACTGCTAATTGGGTGGGGTTGGGTGCGGTGGAGTGGTGTGTGTGAGTGTGTGTGTGTGAGTGAGTGTGTGTGTGTGAGTGAGTGAGTGAGTGAGTGTGTGTGTGTGTGTGTGTGTGTGTGTGTGTGTGTGTGTGTGCGTGCGTGCGTGTGTGTGTGTGCGTGCGTGCGCGCGCGTGAGTGTGTGTGTGTGTGAGTGTGTGTGTGCGTGCGTGCGTGCGAGCGAGCGTGCGAGTGTGTGTGTGTGTGTGTGTGTGTGTGCGTGCGTGCGTGCGTGCGTGCGTGCGTGCGTGCGTGTGTGTGTGTGTGTGTTTGATATAAAGATAAAATCAAGCCCCTGTTTTACTGGGAAAAAAATACCCATGGCACGGATTGGCGGAACAAAAATAACGTGCATTTTTTTTGCAGATCGGCGTCGAAAAATACAGTTCATTATTCGTATGTATTTTTTTTAAATCACGATTTCAGCACCTGTTCATTTTCGAAAAAATACATGAGATCCTGAGCAAAACAACATGAAATGGTTGTTCACATTGATCTACACATGAAATTTCAAACAACCATACGTGATCGATATTACAGCCAAATCACGCCCCGACATCACCCATGCAATTAGCGAGCCATTATATTTGTGGCTGTCATGTCAGTCTTTATTTTCACTTGCAGGCTGAACAGAATCACAAACGCTTATGTTCGCGGCTTTTCAAACATAAAACATGTTTCCGGAACGTTGAATGTGGCGCGCAAATACAATCCAATATGTCGTAAAATCGCGCAGAGACAGGAACACGTGAATCATCATAACCTTTGAGACAAAGTTTACTCAGCATCCATCAGTTTCAATAAATTTCTATTAACTACTAAAGAAAATACAATACATAGTTCCTTTTTGATAATATGAATGTCGTAAACAATAAGCCGGAAACTGTTCTACTTCCGTAAGCGGCGAATTGAAACTTGTTATGTTTGGACTTGTTCAGCGCTTTAGCGGCTAGCGCAAATTCCTTCTCTTGGTATGTTTTTCATTTCATCATTCAGTTTTTCAAAATAGTTTATGCATGTATATGTACAAAACAAGATGCATGACATTCAAGTCGTACTCTTCTTTCTATTCGACTTTCGGATTGATAAAGTATCCGTTAGTTGAAGGGGAGGGACGGTAGGGGGACATATTCCTCCTAATTAACGCAAACTGTCTATCTGCTGTTGTTTATCATGGTATCAATGCACTATTTTCTGAAGTTGATTTTGCAATATTTGATTTCAAAGGAGATTTGTTCATACTATGCTGTATATAAATTTACAAGCATTCCCACATGTTAACAGCTGGTCAAAATGAAATAGATCTAAATTCTAAGCGCAAATTTTCAAATTTTTTACCTTTCATGGAAATTGGAAATTAAAAGCTATCAGGGTGTTATCAGCTACTGTTTGCCTATAGGAAACAGATGTAAAGTTCCAATTTTGTTTCTAAATGTTACTAAATCAGTAGTAAAAATGCAGTCATGTCAATCAACACAATTTGAATCTTCTCAGACTTCTGTTTCTATTCATCATGATTCATACTCCATGTCAGCTTGATCAGCTGTCTTGATTGCTTATGTTTGTGGTTACCATGGTCACAGAAGTGGCACATTTAAATGAATTGTCAAGTTCCAATTACAATAAAAATGACTTTTTCATTTCACCTCTGACATGAAGTGAAACCAAACATGCCAAATGTTCAGACATCAAAGCAGATTTTTGGGCTGATGGTTTTCTAAGATCACTTATTCGTCAATTAAGCTGCGTATCTGCGTAGAATATGCATCAGAAATGCAGAAATACGCAGTAAAATATTCGATTAGCAAATCAGCAACTTATTTTGAAATTAAAAACGGGCATTCCGTCAACCTTGCCAAACTCCACGATGACAGTTACATCACAATCATTTGCCATCACACTTTCTTGTGGACGTATCGTGGTATTTTTGAGTCCTATAAAGCTCTCGAACACACATGACACCAGTTTGCAGGGACTAAATGAATAGTGTTTTTAAATATTTACCTTAAATACCCACATGTGTAAACACTAGTGGGTAACAGAAATTTGAATACCCAGATAGAATTACTGATACCCAATGAATACATGGGTAAAATACCCACAACACGAAAGCTTATCTGGAGCTCTGGTTAACGTAATTAGTTTAATCCCCAATCAGACTGAATGATGGACCTCCCATGAAGACATCTTATGTTTATGCTAAAACCATTTTCAACTCATTAGACAAACAGCAGCCTGTAAATTTTAATATTGGTAACAAATGGTAACTATAGTTACCAATTAACTAACATTGTACAAATGTTGAATGTATTTATTATGTTGACTTGTAGAATGTATGTGTTTATCATTTATTTATCATATAATGGTACCTGTTAGCATTGTCAGTGATAAATCAATCTGATAAACTTGGTATTGTGTTCTGATAAATATGCCGTATTCGACGTAATAAGCGCCTCGCTCTAACAAGCGCCCGCAGCGATATTTGCATATATTGGCCTGTGAACAATCCCAATTAGCATCCTTCCGATTGATCAATGAACACAAGACTTATTTATTCGTGTATAATACGCACTCTTGTGTTATATGCACCCTTAATTACGGGCAATTAAATTCTGGAAAAATATATCTGTCATGTATGATACGCACAAACCTTTCTTTTGTATCATTTCAGGCTGTCAGCATAAACCACGAAATTTACGATCTTTCAACTCTTTCACCAAATTTATATTCTAATCACTGCTAATAAGAGGCCCCTATTTCTAATTTTGAGAGCGCCCTGGGCGTTTATTACGTTGAATACGGTAAGCTCTGTTTGGCGATGTGGCGTTAACTTGCTAAAAAACTATTGCATAACATTCCGTCATTGATTAGGCTATAAAAAATAACAGTCTTGGTTCTCGGGCTCTGACCACATCATCATTGCACGTTTCGTTTTTGGTTTCCATTTTCAATATTTTTTGTGTGCATTGTATTTAACAGTGTTAAGTATTAGGATTTTTATATTTTTTTGAAAACAGAAGTAAAAACAAAAGGTGCCGCTGATTTTTGATGATGCGGGTGGTGCTTGAGAACCAAGACTATTATATTTTTTAGCCTTAGATAGTGGTTTCTTGATGTGTTAGTGTTTATGTAAACATACATGGCTGTAAATCATCTGGCGCTGTAGCAGAAATGAGATATACCGTATTCGACGTAATAAGCGCCCAGGGCGCTCTCAAAATTAGAAAAAGGGGCTCTTATTAGGACATAATTTTGGTGAGATTAAAAACGAAGTTGAAAGATTGTAAATTTTATGGTTTATGCTGACAGTCTGAAATGATATAAAAGAAGGATCTGAGTGTATTATACACGACAGATATATTTTCGAGAATTAATTTGCCCATGATTAAGGGTGCATATAACATGTATAACAAACGAGTGCGAATCATACACGAATAAATAGATCTTGTGTACATTCATCAATCGTAAAACGTGCTAACTGGGATTGTTCACTAGCCAATACATACCACTCAAGAAAGTAAAGGAACACAATTCTTACATGTGACTATCGAGTTAATCTGTCCTGGCATGAGAGATTAGCTGTAGCCATTTGAAAGAATCGGATGTTCCTTAACTTCTTTTGAGTAGTATATTAGCAAATAGTGAGTGAGTATGGTTTTACGCCGCTTTTGGCAATATTCCAACAATATCACTGCGGGGGACACCAGAAATGGGCTTCACACATTGTACCCATGTCGGAAATCGAACCCGGGTCTTTGGCGTGACGAGCGAACGCTTTAACCACTAGGCTACCCGACCACCCCATATTAGCAAATAAAGCCGTGGGCGCTTATTAGAGAAGGCGCTTATTACGTCGAATACGGTACCTGGAATATTGCTAAGAGTGGTGTAAAACAATACTCACTCACAGCTTCAGACTTAATGTGTCTTCATGCTGTTTTCAGGTGGTGTAGCGAGATCGCCATGAAGGGCAGGGGAGATAACAAGGTCCGGTACAGACTCAGTCCCAGTGAAGTGGAACAGTTGTCCAAGGATGAGACTACACGGCGGCGCAAGCTACGACTTGTTCAGGTAGAGACGGACCGCCTCCGTGGTCTTGTGGTAAAGCATCCGCCCGGGGTGCGGAAGGTCTGGGGTTTGATCCCCGGCTGCGTCATACCAAACGACGTTAAAAGATGGTACTTGTTGTTACCCTGTCTGACGCTCGGCATTAAGGGGCTGAAACAAGGACTGGTCGGCTCGGAGTCAGTATACTGTGTCTGAGTGGGGTATTCATGTTAAACTGCGGCATGATATCTCAGTGTGCTAGCACTGTATATCGGCATCAGTCCGGACTAGTACAAGCAGCCACACACACACACGTACATGCACGTCGCTATATAAGTGCAATAATCTTGGACGCGACGTTACACCCAATTTCACCACCTCACCTCAGGTAGAGACTGCTTTCGCACACAGCAACAGGGTTGGAACCTACTGGCTCGACTGATAACATATAGCAAACTGTTTGAAATTTGACCAGCCATTAGGATACCCTTCACGTTAACAAAACTGGTCTGGTTGAGTGGGCTTCTGCTAATTTCCATCTTGTTGCACATTAATACACTAATCAGTAATAACTGTTGATATGCACCCTAAAACCTTTTCATTCATAATGTGTAGATTTATGGTGTAGAATAGGTCTTCAGCAACCCATGCTTGCCATAAAAGGCGACCATGCTTGTCGTAAGAGGCGACTAAGGGGATCGGGTGGTCAGGCTCGCTGACTTGGTTGATGCATGTCATCGTATCCCAATTGCATGGATCGATGCTCACAATGTCAATCACTGGATTGTCTGGTCCAGACTCGATTATTTACAGACCGCCGTCATATAGCTGGAATATTGCTGAGTGCGGCGTAAAACAACAACCAACCAACCAATCAGCAACCCATGCTTACCGTAAAAGGCCACTGAAGGGATCAGGTGGTCAGACTCGCTGACTCCAAATTGTGTGGATCGATGCTCAAGATATGAATCACTTGATTGTCTGGATTATTTTCAGACAGCCGTCATATGGCTGAGTGCAGCGTTAAATAACAAACAAACGAACAAACACATAGTTTTTTTTATGAATTGCGGGGATTGTTACGAAACAGGTTTTGAGTGAAATACCCAAATGACAAGAAACAGGTGGGGAAAAAATACCTTCTTAAATATGTTAAACGTGTGGATACCCAATCAAAATCGAACCGCTGGGGAAAATTCCCAAATAGCCAAAAGCTTGTCTATAGCTCTGTAACCATGGTAACAAACAATCATCATGTGATGATATGTTTTCTGCCTCAGGTTCGAGAACAGGCCAAGGTGAATGCAGCCAGGATCAGAGAGGATGTGAGGAAGGAGAAGGCAAAACAGATGGACAAGTTGACCTGTGAGGTCAAGGTAAGCACCTGTAGCGTTGCCATGGTTACATAAGTAAATCATACTTACAGATGGGAAGGTCATGGGTGCCAATGGGGTTTTCAAGATTCATTGGGGCATCGTCGAATTATACGTGACAATACACTACACCTCCGTACATTTCTGTATGAAACATGAAATAACACATATGCATGACGGTGCAAATCGTCGGTCACAGAGAGTCCATGGATGGGTGACCGCGATTCAGCAGCTTGGCTCCTGAGAGTTTCTAGGGCTTCGGTCATGTAACACATGTGGCATCTCCTGGGGCAAATGGCTTTGTTCGAAATGTGCCTCTGTTCACCCAGTAGTGAGTGGGTACCCGGTAGGATGAGATGTCAATGTGGTTGTTAATATTTTAACGCCTGACAGGCAGATCAGGCTATATATTCCCCAGGGAGCTGAGAATGATTGTTGATCCAGTGATCGGGGTAATAATAGCGCTTTGAGCATGCCCCTGAGTGGTATTGAAATATGTGTAATGTGAATAGCCTATTATTATTATTATTATTATTATTATTAATATTATTCCGAAACCTTGACTTGCCAACTGGGATGCCTTGCTTGTCATGAGGTTGTTAGAATTGCCTGAAACAACTGTTTTAGTTGTAAACTTTCTTTTGGCATAAACAACGTTGTCATGTCTACAGAATAACCTTGAAAAAGAAAAACTGGAGAAGCTGCATCGTCTGGAGCAACAGTACGAAAACTCCCTGAAGAGCATCGGCACCGCGCACAAGGCGGCCAGGAATGTTGTAAGACTCATTGATCATTAACAGCACCAATAAACCCATTGACGATCCAAATTAGAATTGGTCATCAGCAACTCATGCTTGTCGTAAGAGGCGACGAACGGGATCGGGTGGTCAGGCTCCTGACTTGGTTGATGGATGTCATCATATCCCAACTGGTGGATGGATGCTCATGATGTCAATCACTAGATTGTGTGGTCATGACTCCATTATTTACAGAGTCACAGTCGTATAGCTTGAATATTGCGGATTGAGGCGTTAAACAAGACACTGTACAGATAGTATGTTGGACATGTTGAAATGATAAATCACATTGCTAGAAATGAACTTGAAACCATGAGCAGTTGATGAGAGGTTGACGAGTAGCCAAGTGCTTTCACATGGGCCTGTCATCATGGTCATGTGGCAGATCTTGGGTTGATTCTTCATAGGGGTCGGGGCGGTCGGGTAGCCTAGTGGTTAAAGCGTTCGCTCGTCACGCCGAAGACCCGGGTTCGAATCCCGACATGGGTACAATGTGTGAAGCCCATTTCTGGTGTCCCCCGCCGTGATATTGCTGGAATATTGCTTAAAGCGGCGTAAAACCGTACTCACTCACTCACTTCATAGGGGTCTATTGGATAGAGTAGGAGGTCTGTCGTTTGACCCCTGGTCACTTCATAACAATGGACATTAAAAGATGGTACTTGTTTTTACCTTGCCTGGCACTTGGTGTGTTCCATAGTAAAAGCAGGACTAGACAGTGTTCCATAGTAAAAGCAGGACTAGACAGTGTTCCATAGTAAACGCAGGACTAGACAGTGTTCCATAGTAAAAGCAGGACTAGACAGTGTTCCATAGTAAAAGCAGCACTAGCTAGTGTTCCATAGTAAAAGCAGCACTAGACAGTGTATCTTAGTAAAAGTAGCATTAGACAGTGTTCCATAGTAAAAGCAGAACTAGACAGTGTTCCGTAGTAAAAGTAGGACTAGACAGTGTTCCATATTAAAAGCAGGACTAGCCAGTGTTCCATAGTAAAAGCAGGACTAGACAGTGTTCCATATTAAAAGCAGGACTAGACAGTGTTCCATGTTAAAAGCAGGACTAGACAGTGTATCATAGTAAAAGTAGCAATAGACAGTGTTCCATAGTAAAAGCAGCACTAGACAGCGTTCGTTAGTAAAAGCAGGACTAGACAGTGTTCCATAGTAAAAGCAGAACTAGACAGTGTTCCATAGTCAAAGCAGGACTAGACAGTGTTCCATAGTCAAAGCAGGACTAGACAGTGTTCCAGAGTAAAAACAGGACTAGACCGTGTTCCATAGTAAAAGCAGCAGTAGACAGTGTTCCATAGTAAAAGCAGGACTAGCCAGTGTCCATACTAAAAGTAGCACTTGACAGTGTTCCATAGTAAAAGCAGCATTAGACAGTGTTCCATAGTAAAAGCAGGACTAGACAGTGTTCCATAGTAAAAGCAGGACTAGACAGTGTTCCATAGTAAAAGCAGGACTAGACAGTGTTCCATAGTAAAAGCAGAACTAGACAGTGTTCCATAATCAAAGCAGGACTAGACAGTGTTCCATAGTAAAAGCTGCATTAGACAGTGATCAATACTTATATTGAGAAGTGAAAAGTCTGATCCACCGATCCTTGGAGTATCGTCCCACCACTAATGCTCATGATATCAATCACAGAATTATCTGCCCTAAGGACCTCTATATATTTAAAATAATTAACCGCCTATAACGTTGCTGAAATGCTTCTCTGTTCCGAAACGCGCCAACAGAAGGACTGTGAGCTGGAGAGGGTGGTACAGGGTCAGATGAGGAAAGAAGCTGCGCACCGCCGCTATCAGTCCGCACTCAAGAATCTGCGCAAAGACAGGGCGCTGAAGGACTACGAGGATAACAAACACATCATTGCACGGTAACCATGGAAACAATGATAACTAGCCCATGATGCAGTAGCTGGTGCAGCAAAGCCTTTGAATCTATTTGTGACTGCCTCCAAGGTGAGTTGGGTTTAACGCCTCTTTTAACAGTATTCCAGTTATATCACGGCGTGTCAGCTTAATGTGGGAGGAAAGCCCAAAGTGATGCAGGTTTCAGACGTTTACCACTTCGGTGAAACCCACGAGCACGGGTATAGTGCTGACAGACCTAGAAACATAATCGGGGCGAACCGGGATTCGAACCCACAATCATGGGTTTCTGGCGTGCCCAAGGGACGCAACTCTGCACAGCGAATCGCAGCGCCTTAGACGACTGGGCCACCCATGCCTCCCATATACTAGTTTGAACAACCCCCCATAAAAAAAAACACCCGCCAACACTATACTTTCAAAAGCCATTGCCTGAGAAGCAATTCTTTTATATTTTAAGTCTTATAAAACTGGAATATTGCTGAGTGTGGTATAAAAACATCAAACAAACAATTTGTCAACTCTGTGGTCTGCCCTGGGTTTATTGACTTGGTGAAATTGAGCCACGCTTCTCTCCCTCCTAGACACGCAGCACTGGAGACAGAGGCGCTGAGGGCAGCCGAGGTTGCCGCTCTACCCCCACCCGAGCCAGACCCCTGGGAGGAAGCACTGCAGTCTAAACGTAGGTTACAATCATCATCATCATCATCATCATCATCATTGCCTCCATTATCAATACTTAGCTGTTTTTGTCCATTTACACTTTCATTCCTTTCCTGATGTCGACCGCCTCCGTGGTCTAGTGGTAGAGCGCCCGGAGAGCGGAAGGCTCTGGGTCAGTATACTGTGTCTGAGTGGGGTATTCATGCTAAACTGCGGCATGGTATCTCAGTGGGATAGTACTATAAATCGGCATCAGTCCAAGGAGGACAAGCAGCCACACACACACGTACATGCACGTCGCTGTATAAGTGCAATAATCTTGGATGCGACGTTAAGTCCCATTTCACCTCACTTTTCTGGTGTTGTGTTATCCCTTGTGCTTCTTCTACCCCGAATGTTAAGTCATTCAAAGAGTTACTGCCCTTTCTTATGAACCTTACTTGGATGATCTGGAAAGTAACTGTTCTGAAAATGATTTTTTAAGCTTCTCCTATCTCACAATAAGCATTTCTCTTTCTTTTTGCATTGTGTGAGAAGGGATAGGTCAAATCAAATCAAATCAAATCAAATTAAATTAAATTAAAATCCTATATGAGAAGCTTATAGAAATTGAATTGAGTGAATTTCCAGATTTGTGGGATGCTGAGTTTGTATAGGTGATGATGTCATACAGATACTGTTCAACAAGAAGTATTTTGTCATCTTTTCCCAGCCAAACCTGTGCCGATGACGGACATGAATGCATTCTCTACGACACACTATCACATACCAGATTATGCAGTAGTCAAGGCCGGCCCTCTTGAACAGGTAGGCTGGATGGATGTGTCTTGTCTTGTCGTAGTTTGTAATCAGTTGACAAACTTGGTAGAAAACGGAAATATGCAATCTACATGCTGTTTGTAACCATGGAGTTACCTCAGGGGGCACGGGTGGAACAGTCGTCTAAGGCGCAGCGATTCGCTGTGCAGAGTTGAAACACTGTATTTCAGTTATATTAAATGAATTCAAGGAGAAAATAAACTTGCGAATGTGCTCCAGTATTTTGAGGAAGTCTGTATATGGCTTTTCACATCTTGTTATCCAGTAAACAACCTCAAAAAGAAGTTTCAAAGTGTCTGTTGTGATTGTAACCTTTTTGTGGTAATTGTTATGAATTAGTTCTGCAAGTTCGCTGTATTCAGGGGGGCACGGGTGGCCCAGTCGTCAAAGGTGCCGTGATTCGCTGTGCAGAGTTGCGTCCCTTGGGCACGCCAGAAACCTATGATTGTGGGTTCAAATCCTGGTTTGCCCTGATTATGTTTCTAGGTTTGTCAGCACCATACCCGTGCTCGTAGGTTTCACCGAAGTGGTAAACGTCTAAGACCTGCATAACTTCCTCTCACATTAAGCTGACACGCCGCGATATTACTAGAATAATGTTAAATGCGGTGTTAAACCCAACTCACTCACTCACTAGAGTTACCTCTCTCTCTGATAATCGAAAATAATACGAAAAATGGATATAGTGAACTCACGTTGTGGTCTCGTGTGTGCTCTGTCATCGACAAAGTTTAAGTGTATAACCAACTGTTAATCCCTAAGCTGAGCTCCTCACTTCTGGTGTCCCCCGCCGTGATATTGCTGGAATATTGCTCAAAGCGGCGTAAAAACCTACTCCGGAGTCTGGAATGCTTTGATTGGATGGGCTTGAAAGTAATTTGCAGGCCTTGAAGTTTAGGGAGTAATCCTTAAAAAGCCTTGTATTTTGTGACTGTAATTGTGTTTAAACCTGACTCTAGTTTGTCAGGCACCTCAGTTCTTTCAATTGTTTACGTCAACTCATTTTACATCATTTGTTGTGAACATGTGGGGACCCAGATTAGATTCTCAGCACCTCATGAGTGTTGGAGGTGGTTAAGTTAGTGGGCGTGATTTGTGACTTTGCTGATTCAGTGGCACCGGTCCCCTAATGGCGAGGACGTTTTTAGTCACTGGTCCAGACAGGCTTCCATGAAATGTCTGGAATATTGCAAGATCTGGGGTACAGTAGGTCTTCAGCGAAGCAAGCGACCATGCTTGCCGTAAAAGGCGACCATGCTTGTCGTAAAAGGCGACCATTCTTGTCGTAAAAGACGACTATGCTTGCCGTAAAAGGCGACTATGCTTGCCGTAAATGGCGACTATGCTTGACTTAAAAGGCGACTATGCTTGTCGTAAAAGACGACTATGCTTGTCGTAAGAGGCAACTAATAGCTCACCAGGGGAAAAACTAACAATGAGCTTTGAAGTGTGTGTGATGGCCTCTGTTGATGATGTTGCAGAAGGATGCTTGTCTTGCTGCGGAAGAGGAGGACTTCAGACTCAAACTTGAGCTGAAGGAAAAACGACACACCGACCAGGACAGGGTGGTCAGGGCTCGTATCCGTGGAAACGTGGCTCTTCGAAAAGAGCACCTTCGACATGTAAGTATTTTCAAACAAAACCAGACTGAAGACCATTGCAGGTTAAAAGCACAAGAGACATCACTTTTTGCTTTCATACCAAATTATCTCGTCTTCATTCTGTTCATTTCTTCAGTTGCTCACTTAAACTGCTGGACCAACTGCCACCCACTCACTCACTCATTCACCCAAGGACTTACTCACTCTCAGTCAAAACCATTCACTCACTCACTCACTCACTCACTCACTCACTCACTCACAATTGCTCACCCACTCACTCACTCACTCACTCACTCACTCACTCACTCACTCACAATTGCTCACTCACTCACTCACTTATTCACCCAAGGACCCACTCACTCTCAGTCCCACCCACCAAAACCACTCACTCACTCACTCACACAGTCACTCACAATTGCTCTCACTCACTCACTCATTCACCCAAGGACCCACTCACACATTCACTCTCAGTCCCATCCACCAAAACCACTCACTCACTCACTCACTCACTCACTCACAATTGCTCACTCACTCACTCACTTATTCACCCAAGGACCCAATCACTCTCAGTCCCACCCACCAAAACCACTCACTCACTCACACAGTCACTCACACAGTCACTCACAATTGCTCTCACTCACTCACTCATTCACCCAAGGACCCACTCACACATTCACTCTCAGTCCCACCCACCAAAACCACTCACTCACTCACTCACTCACTCACTCACTCACTCACTCTCAGTCCAACCCCCCCAAACCACTCACTCACCCAAGGACCCACTCACTCACTCACTCTCAGTCCCACCCACCAAAACCACTCACTCACTCACTCACTCACTCACGAAGTCACTCACACAGTCACTTACAATTGCTCACTCACTCACTCACTCATTCACCCAAGGACCCACTCACACATTCACTCTTAGTCCCACCCGCCAGAACCACTCACTCACTCACTCACTCACTCACTCACTCACTCACTCTTAGGAACTTCAGTCAACAGTTTATTGAGAAAGAAGACATCCATCCATATAAGGAGCTTTGTGACCTCATTTGCATAATTATCAGAACACAATACCAATTTTATCAGATTGGTCCATCTTGTTCATAACAATGGCGTTATATGATAAAAACGATATCGTCCTGTTTCAGGAGTACAGTAACATGCTTCAAGACCTGAGCCTTTTACAGCGAGCTGACCGCCGACGGAGACAGGAGGATGTAGCAGATCTGCCAGTAGGTATCAGGGGACAACATGAATAGCTTTTACAAAATGAGTAGGATGCTGTTTGACTTCATCACTGTGATCCATTTCCTCCTAACCATGCACCTGTGAAGATCCGGGGTAGAATAGGTCTTCAGCAATCCAAGCTTGTCGTAAGAGGTGACTAACGGGATCGGGTGGACAGGCTCACTGACCTGGTTGATGCATGTCATCGATCCCAATTGCGTGGGTGGATGCTCATGATATCAATCACTGGATTGTCTGGTCCAGACAGACCGCTGTCATATAGCTGTCATATTGCTGAGTGGTGTTAAACAAGAAACAAACAAACGAAAGAATCCTCACCATGCTGACGACTGATTTTGCTCACCAAATTCACACAAAGTGATACTTGTCCTGAAGTAAATACAGGCTAAGTAGGTTTGGTGTATTCAGTAATTGTCAGTTGCATCAAGTGACTGAAACACTGATGACAAATACTGTAAATCTTGAAATTAATGCGTATCCAAATAAATACGACTGATGACCCCTAGCCAAAAATGCGACGCAAAATCAATACGACTCCCCCCACCCTGTCCCCAGTGGAATGATACATGTCCTTACCTTAATACAATCAAACAGCAAATATCACCGCTTATTAGCGCTGAGTAAAGCACTTCCGTAATAACAATAAACAGTGTTTTCCTAAAAACAACACACAGTTTATATGTTTACTCTGTTGACTGCATTAAGGAAGTTCAAAGCCAATAAAACAGTTCACTGATTGGTATGCGGAGAAGGTGTCAACAAGCTTGACATGAGTGGGTAGAACTCTTGACCCCAGCAGTGATAACTCACCGGATGCCCATTGTGTAATACCTATTCTTTGCATGACATTGTTATATGTTAGTTACAACTGCTGCTCAATAAACGGTGAATTGTTGGTAGTCATTTTGAAGACATTTTTGCGAAGTTAATTAATGCGAGCGAAAACCACACACATTTTTCTCATTTAATTCACACTCACGTAAATTTCTAGATTTACAGTATTAAGGGATGTCGTATCATAGAGTTATCTGCCTTTGTTGTGTACATGACCGTGACAGGCTTGAGCGTTCAAGACGTTTCAGGATGGGACAGTATCTATAAGGCTTGCGGGGGACACGGGTGGCCCAGTCGTCTAAGGCGCCGTGGGGCGGTCGGGTAGCCTAGTGGTTAAAGCGTTTGCTCATCACGCCGAAGACCCGGGTTCGATTCCCGACATGGGTACAATGTGTGAAGCCCATTTCTGGTGTCCCCCGCCGTGATATTGCTGGAATATTGCTTAAAGCGGCGTAAAACATACTCACTCACTCACTTTAAGGCGCCGCAATTCACTGTGCAGAGTTGCATCCAGTGGGCACGCCAGAAACCTATGATTGTGGGAATTTGAATCCCGGTTCGCCCCGATTATATTTCTAGGTTTGTCAGCACCATACCAGTGCTCGTGGGTTTCACCGAAGTGGTAAACGTCTAAAACCTGCATCACTTCGGGCTTTCCTCGCTAATTAAGCTGACAAGCCGAGATATAACTGGAAGAGTGTTAAAAGCGGCGTTAAACCAAACTCACTCACTCACTCACTGGAAGGCTTGCGGAATCTATAGAAGGGGGACAAGACGGCAATTCAAGGCCTTTTTTATCCGACTTGTTTCTTTTCTATACAAGTGTAAAAAATATTTAGATTTGACTAATTTGTATACACATGAAATTGGAAATTCTTAATGTGGAAAGATTTGCAGACTTTCGCTGGAGACTTGCAGCTAAATATGAAGCCCTGAGCAGTTCTAGATAAGTCATAGCTTTCATTTTAAATTATCTCCTGATGACATGTGTCAACTCCAAACATATTGCTTTGGCTGCCAGCAATAATGTCATTAACTCTTTAATGTCAGAAAATCTAGGCTGGTAATTCTCTAGCTTTGACAATTGATTTGGTAAACATGGAATGTTGCGGTACAGTGGTGTATGTTGTATTCTTGTTGCAGAAGCAGGTGTTTCTGCCGCCAGACCGGCGCCAAGAGGATAAGGAGAACAAACAGATGAACATGGAGAAAGCCTTTGAGGACATGTACTTGGCCGACCAGCGTGAGTTGTATGCATAGTCAGTCTTGAAATGACGTTTGTTTGTTGGTTTGTTGTTTAACGCCGCACTCGGCAATATTCCAGCTATATGACCGTGGTCTGTAAATAATCGAGTCTGGACCAGACAATCCAGTGATTGACATCGTGAGCATCCATACACGCAATTGACATGCATATACCAAGTCAGCAAGCCTGACCATCCGATCCCGTTAGTCGCCTCTTATGACAAGCATAGTTGCCCTTTACGTCAAGCATGGGTTGCTGAAGACCTACTCTACCCCGGATCTTCACAGTTACTGAAAATGTTGAAATGACAAGAACGATTTAGTTTCCCTTTGGGGTGCTATGTTAACAAACATCGAGCTATTGCTCCTATGTGTTAACATAGTGAGTGAGTGAGTGAGTGAGTGAGTATTGTTTTACGCCGCTTTTAGCAATATTCCAGCAATGTCACGGCGTTGGACACCAGAAATGGGCTTCACACATTGTGCCTATGTTGGGAATCGAACCTGGGTCTTCAGTGTGACAAGCGACCGCTTAAACCACTAGGCTACCTGACCGTCTCATGTTAACAGATATGCTGCAGATGTTTAAGGATGCTCAGTATTTTTTTAGGGGTCATTGAACTCAGGTTTCTCTGAAGGGCTTCATCCGAGTTTTGTTGGTTTCAGATCCTCCAGTGATGATGTCGCTTGACACCCAGACACCTCCCGACACCCCATCCAGTTCCGAGTCACATGACCCATCCCACCCACCAAACAATGTGTCACTACGGCAACCATCCATGGATGTCACAGCTCTCAAAGATGTCACCAATGTTACAATCTCAGACCAGACAGCCAAACTCAAGAAAAATGGTAATGAAATATGATGAGAGTGAGTGAGTGAGCGAGTTGGGTTTAACGCCGCTTTTAACAGTATTCCAGTTATATCGCGGCGTGTCAGGTTAATGGCCCACGAGCACGGGTATGGTGCTGACAAACCTAGAAACATAATGGGGGCGAACCGGGATTCGAACCCACAATCATAGGTTTCTGGCGTGCCCAAGGGACGCAACTCTGCACAGCGAATCGCGGCGCCTTAGATGACTGGGCCACCCGTGCCCCTATGATGAGAGAGGTTGAGAATACTGTGAACTTAAAAGCTAATGAGCTTCGAGGTCTCATTCCACAAAGCAATCATGGCACCATGACAATCTCAGCAAATAATGAAGTATGGGAGTTACAACAATCTGAAGCTAAAAAAAATAATAGTCTTGGTTCTCAGGCACCGCTCGCATCATCATAAAGTTCGCTGCACGTTTAGTGTAACGGTAAGTGCATGTAAATCACACAATGCAGAATTGCCAGCCTGACATGTTGGCGTAACTGGTCATAACATCTGCCTCAAGCTCCTCACAGCGATAGACTGTTCGCGGAGCTCTCTATACTATCGCTGCCACCAGTCAAAACTCCCCGCTGTGAATAGATGGCCACAACCATGCTTGGAGTTGAATTCGCAACCGAATGACCGTTATGTTTACAAACAAGTGACGACTGTCATGACGCTGAATACACTTATCGCTGCTAAATTACTTTCTTCGTTTGTCAATTTGAATTTCTGTGTCATTAAAACTATCGTGTTATTGATATAGTAAGAATGTAAGGGAGAAGTTGGTTTATTTTCCGTTAGTCTGCAATCTCGAACCAATCTGATTATTAAAACAACAATGTAAATTCATCTGGAAAACATGGTCAGTCGTAAACCTTTTCAAAATGAAATATCATGGCATTCCCAAAGATATAAATAAAAGTATCAACGTTGCTACATTTGGGGTTAAGAGGGCAAATTTCAAGATTCTTGTAATCGCAGCGCCCACACTGGTGGCAGCGATGTTACCGAGAGTGTAACGAAGGTGTCACGCGCTGGAAAGGAGCTTGCATCTACCTGAGGCAAGGGAGTTAACTGACTTTAAGACGAGTTCGATCCTGTGACCCAGTCATACCAAAAGATTTGTTGTCACCCTGTCTGGCGCTGGCATTAAGGGGCTAAAACAAGGACTGGTCGGCTCGGAGTTAGTATACTGTGTTTGAGTGGGGTATTCATGTTAAACTGCGGCATGGTATCTCAATGAGCTAGCACTATGAATCGGCATCAGTTCGGACTTGTACAAGCAGCCACACGCACGTACGCACGCACACGCACACACACACACACACACACACACACACACACACACATGTCGCAATATAACTGGACACGACGTTAAATACAATTTCACGTCACCTCTAGATGAGGATTTCAAGAAGAAACACAACTGTGACACTGTGAACCAGAACAGAAATGTCAGCTCTATGCAGCATGCAATGTACAGTTTTCATATATTTGAACAACCATATGTTTTTGTGCCCCCAAGACTCGCAATGTAACTTATGTTTCCATTCTCAATCAATCTCATTAAAATCAGACCCTATCTTTCAATCGCTAAACAAAGATCCCATTACGGGTCAACAACCTTTCATCCAACCAATCAAAGCATCGCTTACAAGATGATGAAAGAGACATTCAGAATGTGTTTTCTAATCATGCAACCTTGGAAACGACAGAATCAGCCTGTATGACTGATTATGTGAAAATTATCGTCTATCTGTCGCTTCCGTGGGATAAACATTTGAACGGAGGAAGCACTGCTATACAATCTCAACAATATATTAGACATTCCGGAATGTTTGTTTGTTCAGTTTTCAAAATATTATTCGAGAATTGTCAACATTTTTCCAAGCGTAGTCTGAAATGGAAGTTTCCAGGTTGAAACGAGTGCCGTAAAGCTCGAGAAAGCTGCTTTCTAATTGGCTGATGTTGACTTCTTGTTAGTCGTTTCAGTGGTCGGTCAAAGTTTGCGAAAGATCATTCTGTCGTGACCCGTAATGGGATATGCTCAGATCTTTGTTCAGCGGCACTAAAAGTGTTTCTTTAGAAGGTATTTAATGGGGTTTCATGGAGGTATGACTACCTGAGTAATCCAGAATCGTGTAGAGATTTGGTTCATGTGGATTTTTCCATATTCCCTTTTATAGGAATGCTGTCTGTCCGTCCGTCCATCAGAGCAGAACTGAAAAAGCATGAGGGATGTCCTAACCAAACTTGGCACACACATGGGTCTTGTGGTGAACTGGTGCCTTTTGATAGTTTGGGATTTACAATTATTTTTTTTCGAGTTTCCATGGCAACAACAGATCTTGAAAAGCGTAAATGTTTCTGGCCTTCCACTCAACTGGAGATGTGATATTGGCAGGGGATATGAGTACTTCATGCTTGTTCAGTCCTAGTGTGTGTTACAGACGGTGCGCTGATGAAGTTGTTCAACCGTATTAAAGAACAGAAGGAGGAACATGCCAGCCGCTCCGCCATCGAGACGAGTCAGGTGGTGGGTGAGACGGTCAAGCCCGGGATTCCCCTGCCTGCAGGTCAACTGGTCAATGGTGAGTCAGGCAAAGTCACACAGCCTTGTTACTGGGCTGTGTGTGGCCTACTGGTTAAAACGTTGGCTTGTCATGTCAAAGACCCGAGTTTAATTCCTCATGTGGATATTATGTGTGCCCCTCAATATGTTACCAAGATACCCACACTCCATCCCTCACACTCACTCGCTCGCTCACTCACTCACTCACTCACTCACTCACTCACTCACTCACTCACTCTCACACTCACTCACTCACTCTCACTCACTCACTCACTTACGCACGCTTGCTCACTCACTCACACGACCCGTGAAGACCCGGGGTGGAATAGGTTTTCAGAAACCCATTCTTGCTGTATAAGGCGACTATGCTTGTCGTAAGAGGCGACTAACGGGATCAGGTGGTCAGGCTCACTGACTTAGTTGATGCTTGTCATCAAATCCCAGTTGCATGGATTAATACTCATGATGTCAATTACTGGGTTGTCTGGTCAAGACTTGATTTAATATAGACCGCCGTGATGTAGCTGGAATATTGCTGAGTGCGGCGTAAAACAACAGACAAACAAACAAACACTCACTCACTCACTCACACTTTCTCACCAACCCACCCTCACTTACACTCACTCACTTACTTACTTACACTCACTCACTCACACAGTCACTCACTCACTCACACCCTCACTCACTCACTCACTCACTCTTGCAGGTTTGTCCCCACTATCGGAGTACTCGGCCCTAGAGACCTGCTCTCTGCCGTCCACAACTGTCCAAGGTCACAGTCCGGCCACAAGGAGTGATGTTCCCCGACAAGTCCACATCGAGGTCAGACCACTGCGGGATCAATCTCCAGACACTCAGGTAAAGACATGATAATCATGATACTTTGTATCTCAAGGATAATAGGGGGGGAGACACTTTTGTTGTTCAATCTGTCAGAGCAAGTGAATATAGCGGAACACGAGCCATGTGTTTTTAAGTCTTCAATACACCTTGAGAAGAGCACATGCCCCCTGTATAACACATGCTGGTATTAAGCCCCCTGTATAACACATGCTGGTATTGAGTCCCCTGTATAACACATTCTGGTATTGAGCCCCCTGTGTAACACTTGCTGGTATTGACTCCTTGTATAACACATGCTGGTATTGACTCCCCTGTATAACACATTCTGGTATTGACTCCCCTGTATAACACTTGCTGGTATTGACTCCTTGTATAACACATGCTGGTATTGACTCCCCTGTATAACACATGTTGGTATTTAGCCACCTGTATTACACATGCTGGTATTAAGCCCTCTGTGTAATACATGCTGGTATTAAGCCCCCTGTATAACACATGCTGGTATTGACCCCCCTGTATAACACATGCTGTTATTTATTCCCCTGTATAACACATGCTGGTATTGACCCCCTGTATAACACATTCTGGTATTGACCCCCCTGTATAACACATTCTGGTATTCTCCCTTCCAGACAGACACAGGTCCCCCAGCACAGACAGACATTGAGAGAAGGGCCTGGCAAGACAAGATCATCAAGTTGGAGTAAGTTGCGTAGCCTTCAGTACCATCCCCACAGTGTCTCCTGGCCTGTGAGAACCTGGCCCCACGTGGGGTTGACAGCTTATGATACATATAGTTAGTGAGCAACCTGTGTTAGAATCGGTAGGTTACACTCTGTGACCTGCTGACTGCGTGTCATTGTTTCCTATAGCATGGGACTTTCCTCATCATATAGTCACAGGCTTGTGTGGCCCTTCGGAGTGTTTACAGGCCATTGTGGTTTTGCTGGAACATTGCTGACTGCGTCTTAAGGTACTGTGTTTGTTTGTTTGTTGTTTAACTGCACCCTCAGCAATATTCCAGCTTTATGATATCAGTCTGTAAGTCATCTAGTCTGGACCATACAAACCAGTGATCATTATTGTCAGCAATGATACACATTATCAGGGTACAAAGACACACAAGTCACCGAGTATAACCACCCGATCCATTTAGTCACCCCATTCGAGGTGAGGTGAGGTGAAATGGGATTTAACGTTGCGTCCAAGATTATTGCACTTATATATAGCGACGTGCATGTACGTGTGTGTGTTTGTGTGGCTGCTTGTACTAGTCCGGACTGATGCCGATTTATAGCGCTAACTCACTGAGATACCATGCCACAGTTGAACATGAATACCCCACTCAGACACAGTATACTGACTCCGAGCCGACCAGTCCTTGTTTAAGCCCCTTACTGCCGAGCGCTAGGCAGGGTAACATCAAGTACCATCTTTTAACGTCTTTTGGTATGACTCGGCCGGGGATCCAACTCATTCTGGTATTGACCCCCCAGTATAACACATGCTGGTATTAAGCCCCCTGTATGGCACAAAGTGGTATTAAGCCCCCTGAAGTATACTGACTCCGAGCCGACCAGTCCTTGTTTTAGCCCCTTAATGCCGAGCGCTAGGCAGGGTAACAACAAGTACCATCTTTTAACGTCTTTTGCTATGACTCGGCAGGGGATCGAACCCCGAACCTTCCGCTCTCCGGGCGGACGCTCTACCACTAGACCACGGAGGCGGTCCACCCCATTCGACAATCACTAGTTGCTAGGGACCTGTAGCCTTTTCCTGATTCCCCAACAGGTGCGGCCTCAGGTCAGGTTGTGTACAGGCAGCCGTGATGTAGCCAGGCTACGATTTCATTCTGTTTGACCACATGCACAAGGTACAACCAAGTAATTAAATCAGATTGCACCACTAAATGCTGGCAGCACCCTTTTATCATAAATTGAAACTCTGTGTTTTCAGTTATATTGAATATTAAATAAATTCAAAGAGAAAATAAACTTGAGAATGTGCTCCAGTATTTTGAGGAAGTCCGTATATGGTTTTTCACATCTTGTTATCCAGTAAACAACCTCAAAAAGAAGTTTCAAAGATTGTAACCTTTTTGTGGTAATTGTTATGAATTAGTTCTGCAAGTTTGCTCTATTCAGACCTGTCACTATCTTCATGGACTTTTCTTCCCTGGATTCTAAAAGATTTACTGTGTTCTAAAAGAATTCAGTGTTCCACTTTTATCAAATATAACTGCTGTGGTAGGAAATATTGCCTGCATTGGGTGCATCCTGGCAATAGAAGTTATTGCACTAGCAATGTTTCACCTGCACTGGTACAGCTTGGATATAGCGACATTGATTCCTGGTAGGTGGGATATTGTTGACTGCGGTGGTAAAACAACTCATAAATCATGTACCGTCCACATGGGGTTTCCAGGGCCGATGTTAGTCTTGTATCTGATGCAGTGTGCAGACTGCCGTCCCAGAATGTCCGATTCCTGCCCATGTCCATGATGGGGTGGTTACAGTGTGTGACCACTTATTGCAGCAGGGACCACCTCCGTGGTCTAGTGGTAGAGCGTCCGCCCGGAGAGCGGAAGGTCCGGGGTTCGATCCCCGACCGCGTCATACCAAAAGATGTTGAATGATGGTACTTGTTGTTACCCTGTCTGGCGCTCGGAATTAAGGGGCTAAAAGAAGGACTGGTCTGCTCGGAGTCAGTATACTGTGTCTGAGTGGGGTATTCATGTTAAACTGCGGCATGGTATCTCAGTGAGCTAGCACTATAAATCGGCATCAGTCTGGACTAGTACAAGCAGCCACACAAACACACACACGTACATGCACGTCGCTATGTAAGTGCAATAATCTTGGACGCGACGTTAAACCCCATTTCAGCCTCGCCACCTTACTGCAGCAATAGCTTTGGTCATTGCCCATGTGCTCAACCCCTTGTTTAAATCAATGTTAACAATTTTAAATATAATGATACATATACCTTGAGAATGTTCCCTATGGCATCAAATATGTATACACACACTGCTGTCATGGTAATATTCTTCATCATCACTTCCGGTCCTGAGATACGGAAACTTTCAGAAAGTTTTATATGTTGTGCAGGAAACATAACCAGTGCTCCAGATACGCTTTTGGTGTTGTGGGTATTTTACCCATGCATTTTAAAATCATTGGGTATCAGTAATTCTATCTGGGTATTCAAATTTCTGCTACCCACTAGTTTTTACACATGTGGGTATTTAAGTTCAATATTTAAAAACACTATTCATCTAGTCCCTGCAAACTGTTGTCGTGTGTGTTTGAGAGCTTTATAGGACTCAAAAATACCATGAAACTTCCACAAGAAAGTGTGATGGCAAATGATCATGATGTAACTGTCCTCGTGGAGTTGGGCAAGGTTGACAGAATGCCCGTTTATAATTTCAAAATAAGTTGCTGATTTGCTAATCGAATATGCAGGGTTACTTCACAATATTTTGATGATACGCACAAGTTTTATTTTTGTAGCGTATCTGTAATGTTCGTTGCGTATTTGATACGCTTGGATTATATTTTACTGCGTATTTCTGCATTTCTGATGCGTATTTTACGCAGATACGCAGCTTATCTGGAGCTCTGATAACTGTGTCTCATTAATGCATGTCAATACCAAACATAAACGCCACAGCCACTGATCTTAATGCTGATCTCAAGCTGAGTCCTGGTGTCCCCTGCCATTTTATTGCTGGAATATTGCTTAAGGTGGCGTAAAACTATACTCACTCACTTACTTAATCTCTTGGGGCTTTCCTCCAACATTGAGTTGACTTTCCTCCAACATTGAGTTGACACGTCGTTGTTGAAAGTGTTGCACCAATAGTTCTTCAGCAACCCATGCTTGCTGTAACAGGCAACTGCTTGTCGTAGGAGGCGACTTACGGGATCGGGTGGTCAGGCGCGCTGACTTGGTTGATGCATGTCATCATATTCCAAATACGTGGATCGATGCTCATGATATAAATCACTGGATTATCTGTCCAGACTCGATTATTTACAGACCGCCGTCATAAAGCTAGAATATTGCTTAGTGCGGCGTTAAACAACAAACAAAACTAAACAAACGAAGATTTCAAAAAGTGTCAAAGGATTCTTGCTCAAAAGTTGTTTGATCAGGGTCACTCGAGGCTTCAGTAAAGATTTCAAAAGGCTTCATAGTAGACATGTGGAAGACGTTTCCAAATACGTTTTGACGAACCTATAACAAAAATGAAGCTCGATGCTATTCCTATGTCATATCCCAATTGCGTGGATCAATGCTCATGATGTCAATCACTGGATTGTCTGTCCAGACTCGATAATTTATAGGCTGCCGTCATATAGCCGGAATATTGCTGAGTGCGGTGTTAAACAATAAATGAACAAACAAACAAAACACACCCTCTCACTACAAGTACAAACATCCTTTTTCTGTTGCAGAGAAAAACAGATGGAGCTGGATGGGTTGATCAGCAAGTTCAAACAGATCTCAGGGATTAATGAGAACACTGAGGTCCCCCCAGGGCTACAGCCATCAAGTATCCCCCCCACACAAGTCCAGTTTCATGCTGGACAACCAATGTCTCAATATAGGCTAGTCAACACGACCACAAACCAGGTCACTTCTGGCGCACAACATCTCCCAGATCCTGGTCGGAGAGATCACAGAGCTGAGACCTTGGCGTCAGATAGGTTCGGATCTGTAGGCCATGCCGTCTCCAGTGGTATTTTCCATGCTGTGCCTGTTCAGGTTGACGGAAAGAGAGAGGGTGGAGGAGAGAGTGGATACTACTCCGGTTTTCCTGGTACTACGTTCCGGGGGTATCAAGAATTGAGGTCTGGTGGTGCTGCTGGCATGACTCAGGGGTCAAGTATTAGTGCCCGAGACATGGCCTCTCACTCCCTCGGTCTGGCTCAGCAGGCAGACCATGTGAGGAAAGTGAGAGAATATCAACAAAAGATCATTGCATCCAGTCAGAGAGACCTGTCCCTGTCGCAGTCTGGTCTCCGGTCAGGGTTCTCCTCCACTCTTGGCACCAGCACAAATTCGGATTTGGATAGCAAGGTGAAGGAATACCAGAAGAAAATTCTCATGGGGAATGCTGAGAGAAGGAACTTTCTGGAGGAAACCAGAGCTAATATTGAAAGGCAACGAGAGGAGCTATACAAAAAGTATCCATTGACAATGGGAAGGACTGACACTTTGAAAGGGTCATCTACTCTTGCATCAAGTTCAGTGGAAACCAGGCCTCATGATGGAGGCTCCCATGACTCTCTTGCCGACAGAATTTTAGCTGATATTCGTGATCCCTTTCGACCAAGAAGTCTTGACATAGGCGACATTCTTGTACGTGATATGTCGAGACATGATTTCATTGATAATAGCAGGCACTTGTCAACATCCCAAACGTCGGCGAATACGTCAAAATCAAAACTTGAGAGGGTGAAGAAGTCCTTGTTATTTGAGGATCCGGATGAATCTCTGACCAGAACTCCAGGGAGGGACATATCGCTTCTAGCACCATCTGACCTTGATGAAGGGGACATGACTCTAACGTCTTCTTCCGAACGTGGAAGTCCAAACCTCAGCAAGTCTGTGAGGTCGGATGGATCAACAGAAGGCATGTCCTTGATATCAAGAGCCAGGGAAACCGGGAACGTGTTCGACAGGCGCCAACAGGAGCTGAAGAAACAGCTGGAAGAAGTGCAGAGACAGAAACAGGAGATTCTGGAGAGATACCAGCTTGGGCAACAGAGGATACAGGATTCCAAGACAAACCTGAAGTCTAAGCTTGACACTTCTGGCTATTCCCAGGATATGTCAAGAACATGGAAGTCATCTTTTAGCGGCCCTGACTCATCCTATGCCTCCTTGCCAACGGATGGAAACATCCGTCCTGCTCCAAGAGCAGCCTTTGTTGATTCCCAAAGAGACTCAGCACCATCAATCCTGAATGGTTCAGCATCCACAGACAAAGTCCTTCCATCAGCTTCAAAGGAATTTTCAATTTCCTCTGATTTTCCAAAATCATTTGAATATTTCAATCTCATGGACTCTACACCTAGTGCAGGCGCATCTCTTGGAGCAAAGTTAGACAGCCTTTCTTCACCGACAGAGAAGCCATTGACAGAGTCTAGGCTGTTTTCAATGGAACTGGAAGAGGAATCTTTGGTGTCTGGAAGTAGATCTTCTCCTGTGGCAGTACCAGACCGATTATTTGATGCAGGATCCTTGACCCTTGAAGAGGAGTCCTTATCCCCAGAGAGTAAGGTCAGCATGACGGGATCGGAATCTACCAATGACAAGATTACATGGTCCAATCTGCTGACAGGGGTCCCTGATGTGTCCCCTGATGAGAATGATGGGGTGAAGGGTGCTGAGGTAGCCACAGACTACATCGGACATGAGCTGAGCACTATCTTCGAGGTGGACACTCCAACAACCCAAGGAACCAGGCAGTCTGGACAGTTTGTGACGTTGAGCTCAACGAGGTCGTAGAGCTTGGACAAGCCTTAACACAAACCGGGCAGCCTCCGGAGGTGGACATCTAACATATGTAGGAAAAGGGCAGTCTGGACAGTTTGTGACGTTGAGCTCAACGAGGTCGTAGAGCTTGGACAAGCCTTAACACAAACCGGGCAGCCTCCGGAGGTAGACATCTAACATATGTAGGAAAAGGGCAGTCTGGACAGTTTGTGACGTTGAGCTCAGCGAGGTCGTAGAGCTTCACAAGTCATGGGCAACCCTTGAGATAAGCTGAGCACTATCTGGAGGTGGACATCTAACATATGTAGGAAAAGGGCAGTCTGGACAGTTTGAAACAAAATTTGCTGACTGAAGAATTGTTATAAAACATATGTATCAGTTTAAGAAATTTGGTATTTTGGCAACATGTGAGCCCCATGGCTGATATATATATTGCATGCTTCAACATTTGTATCAATAGGCAACTGGAGTACAGTTTTCAAAGAGCTGCAGTCTCATTTAATTTATGAAAAATATCAAAAGGATAACCTTTTCTGTTACCTGAAGGTTTTCATTTCCTAATGAGAGTTTGCAGTATGTATTGGATGGTTATCTTCGAAGCTCAAGTTTCAGCTGCCTCCTCAGATGAGAACTAGCTAGATTGGATCTGATGGGAAACAAATATTTATTATCCCCCGCCCAACAAAGTTGGCGGGGATATAGAAACAGGCTCCGTCGGTCCGTTTCGTTTCCGGAGCATAACTCATAAACCGTTCAATATTATTTCATCAAACTTTGCAGGCCTGTCAGGTACATGCTGAACTGGTGCCTTTTGCTATTAAGAAATTTTAGAAATCTTTATTTTTTATGTTTCCATGGCAACAAGATGGACTTAGATTCAAAACTCTTCTTTTTTTTACAATATTAATGACAAGTTCCACCTCGGTTAAAAAAGGTTAGGGTTTGTTTAGTTTTAATTATGTCATAAATTCTGCAACAAGGGCGGGGGATATAGCCAGATTAGTGGCAAACTCTTGTTCCATATGAATGGTGTGAAGTGTGATGAAGAGACTGAGTTCTAGTGTATAGGCAAGTCAGTAGCTCTGTGGTTACACTGTTAGCCTGTCTTGCACAGTGTTGAGTTTGGTTCCATCAGTGATTGTGTGCTTGAGTAATGTGACGTGGATGTAGATGTGTGGGCTCCTAAATGGCTTATAGCTGTACTGCAGGAACACAGTCAGAAATTGTAAAATGAAAACATGCTTCTTTTGGAAATGCTTGGACCACGGAGCTGCAAGATCCCTGTGGATATACACTACTCGAGGGAAGTTAGGGATTGTCATGCCATGACAGATTATCTAGAGTAGTCTGAAACAATTGGGAAGTCCTTAATTATTTTTGAGAGGCATACAAGGAAATGAACAAAACACCTGGTGTGTGTACATACATTGATTCTGTGATATTAAGAATTGTATACATATTTCTTTTAGGAGTTATACTGTCAACATATTCACATGTAGTGAAAACAGTATCTTCCAAGTCAGTAGTTTATTTATTTTAGTTTTCTGTATATTTAATGTATCTAGTTGTGATATTTGTAATTTGTGATGTACATATATGTTTTTTTGTAAATATCAAGCCAAATAAATTCAGAAATGAAAGGAATGGTTGGTTGCATTTAAACAGTTGTGTGGAATGATAGATACGCGTATCATTGAAGGTCTTGGTCATAATCAGGTCATATCTGGGATTCGAACTAGGGTATGTTCTGTGGAGACGATGGTTAAGATATAACCCCAGCACTCTGGTGCTTGTCGTGAGAGGCCGTTAGGTAGAGACTGGAAGATCTGACTGATTTCAGATCGTGTAATCGTGTATCGTATCTCACTAGTTGGGGCACGGGCGGCCTAGAAGTGTGAGGCGTCCCAACTCTAGCGAGTTGCTTACCGTGGGCACACCAGGAACCTATGATTGTGGTTTCGAATCCCAGTTCGGCCCGATTATGTTTCTAAGTTTGTCAGCACCATACCCGTGCTCGTGGGTTTCACCGTAGTGGTAAACGTCTGAAATCCACATTTCCTCTCACATTAAGCTGACACGCAGTGATACGACTGGAATACTGTTAAAAGCAGCGTTAAACCCAACTCACTCTCTCACTTTAGTTATTGGTTTGCCTGTCCTGCACTCGAATAAACAGGCCGTTGATAAAAGCCACACATGTATTCGTAGATAAGGGACACTTACTCCTTGTATTGATGTGAAATGGATGTACTCTTCTCAGAGGAGACATATGAACAGAGGTGAGGTGAGGTGAAATGGGGTTTAACGTCGCGTCCAAGATTATTGCACTTATATAGCGACGTGCATGTACGTGTGTGTGTTTGTGTGGCTGCTTGTACTAGTCCGGTGCCGATTTATAGTGCTAGCTCACTGAGATACCATGCCGCAGTTGAACATGAATACCCCACTCAGACACAGTATACTGACTCCGAGCCGACCGGTCCTTGTTTTAGCCCCTTAATGCCGAGCGCCAGACAGGGTAACAACACGCCGGAGACCCGGGTTCGATTCCCGACATGGGTACAATGTGTGAAGCCCATTTCTGGTGTCCCCCGCCGTGATATTGCTGGAATATTGCTAAAAGCGGCGAAAAATCAAACTCACTCACTTACTGATGCAAACAGGAATGGCTCCAATCGAAGTTGACAGACATTTTTGTGTTTTGTTTATTGTAATAAAACAGGTCTTCCCTGCGAAGTGTATCAAAACACTTGCACACTTTGGTTAAAAACATGATTTTTCGTCAAAATCTCTGTCGACGCCATGTTGACGGTACACATGCCCTGCAAATCCTGCAATCAACCGAAATCTGCTCACCATGTTGTTTATGGACCGGATGTCGATTTCGTTGCGCTAGCTCACTGAGATACCATGCTGCAGTTTAACATGAATACCCCACTCAGACACAGTATACTGACTCCGAGCCGACCGGTCCTATTTTTAGCCCCTTAATGCCGAGCGCCAGACAGGGTAACAACAAGTACCATCTTTTAACGTCTTTTGGTATGACGCGACCGGGGATCGAACCCCGGACATTCCGCTCTCCGGGCGGACGCTCTACCACAAGACCACGGAGGCGGTCCATATGAACAGAAAGAAAACAAAGGTGTAAAACAACAGCTGGTTTAATAAGGAAACAAACATGTTCAACACAAATGGTCTACGTTAACAATGAACTCTGCACCTACAACCTGGGTAACCAAATACATGCTGGTCTAGTTTCCAACAGTGACGTCATAGGTTTACATCGAGCCTACAAACTGGCACAGACGTCATGTTCTGGTGATGATATACCCTTAGGAACCCATCACTTAATATTCGAGTGGGGGTAAGTTCTTTAAGACATACGAATTCTCTTTTTTTCTAGGGGGAGCGAAACATAATTTTGGGCCCCGAACACATTTACTTTCAGTATATTGTCATATGGCAGGGTAATTTAGCTAAATTTGAGCTAAAAAATGTTTAATTGTATCACATTGTTTCTGTTGAGATTGAGTAGAGGTTCATAACGTTGAAAGCCCGAAGTGATGCAGGTCTCAGATGTTTACCACTTCGGTGAAACCCACGAGCACGGGTATGGTGCTGACAAACCTAGAAACATAACCGGGGCGAACCAGGATTCGAACCCACAATCATAGCTTTCTGGCGTGCCAAAGGGACGCAACTCTGCACAGCGAATCGCGGCCCCTTAGACGACTTGGCCACTCGTGCCCCGATTCCATTTGGAATTCAACACGTAACGCTATGCATAATTTCGAGTGAACGAGTTTCTTTCTTTTAAATATGCGGACACATTACTTTTGTCCAGCATGTTTGGGAACACATTATGCTTCTATTCCTGTTCACCATTATCAAATGTGCTGCCTCGTTCTGTGCAGAAGCGTCGGTGTAGGTGTAACTCAGTCAGCTCTGGACATTTTGACATCCAAACTTTGCTTCAGAAACGTAAACTGTTTCTGTCGAGGAATCATTTGACGAATAATTAAACAACAATATGGTCATGAAGAAACATCAGTTGTTGGACGTTCTATAGCTGTGAACATACTATACTACCAATAAAAAATAGGGGAACTAATAATGTGAAAGCAGCTGCCTCTGAACGCATATCTAATCACTATGAGTGAGTGAGTGAGTTGGGTTTAACGCCGCTTTTGACATTATTCCAGTTAGATCACGGCGTGTCCGCTTAATGTGGGAGGAAAGCCCGAAGTGATGCAGGTCTTCAGACATTTACCACTTCGATGAAACCCACGAGCACGGGTATGGTGCTGACAAACCTAGAAACATAATTGGGGCGAACCGGGATTCGAACCAACAATCATAGGTTTCTGTGCCCAAGGGACGCAACTCTGCACGTGTTACAGGTACACACTGAAATCAAAGTCTGTGCACCTTCAGGGGAATTCAAAATCACAAATGCAATTGAGTTGAGCACACGCTTAAAATGTCAAGATAGTATCTCAATGAACAGACGGGGAGACATCAATATTCCAAGTTGCACGAATATTTGGCAAATCAAAAAGAGTTATTTCTCGCCTGTTGACAAGTACGGGGTTGGGTTGCAGTGACACTAGGGCGTGGCAGGCCTACCTACAAAAAGGACGCCTCGACAAGATCGTCTCATATTAATTGCAGATTCAGATCTGCTCCTGTTATCTATAGAGAATTCCGTACAATAAAAGCAAGGCGTATTCCAACGCCTACCGTTACAAGTAGGGTAGGGTGACCCTAATAACTTACCACAGGGGCAAAGGTTGTGGTGGGCATGGCAACACCAAGATGGGCTCTTCGCCAATGGCGTTATACCATGTTTACAGACGAATCAAGGTTTCACCTCTGTTCACAGATGGCAGAAAACGATGTTGTCGACGTAGCGGCGAGAGTTATGCCAGGGCAGCAATTCTTGACCACGATCGGTATGGGGCCGGAAATGTCATGGTGTGGGCGGTATCACACACGACAGTCGAACTAATTTGGTTACTGTGAATGGACATTTGACTGGCCAGCGATAATATGCGTCCTGTCGTTGCCAAGGACCACCACACAAGTTAATGAACAGTGTGCCATCAAGGTGTCGTGCATGGCTGACACACGAGATATTGATCTACAAGCCTGAAATTCATTCTACAGTCATTTATGGTCATTGCGCCTTCAATATTATGTCATGAGTTCCCGTATGTTTTGTCGGTAGTACAGACGCTGATTGGTCAATGACGTGTCTCCCCGTTGATTGGTGACAGATACTGAAGTAATGTTCCTCGGGGAGTTCAGAGAGTAACACAAGTTTACTGTTACGTTGTGATGAATGTTCATTATCTAGAGGGCGAACATTTCTGCCATATTCTTCATCAATATCATGTTTGCTGATGAATGAATTAACCCTTTGTTGACTGAAACGAGAGAGAAAACGTTCATTAAATATACATAATGAATGCAAGACAATAACTAGCCTAAATTTTCTGCAGAAACAAATTCACTTAAGGGGTATATATCTGTGGGAATTATATGAATGGACCACTGAAACAAGTGATGACACCAGGTGTTCGCGAAAACGGTAAGAATTAATGGTACCGGTAGCACCAGCCATTCATACAATTGACATAAAAAAGTAAGTATGTATGTGTAGGAGAAACCATGTCTCCGAGGGATTACTAGAGATTGTAAACCCTCACATTCGCAAACGTCCCTCACGTGAGGGTTTACAATCTCTAGTAATCTCGAGGAGACATGGTTTGTCAAACTTCTAAACCGACTCATCGCATAGACAATATGAAATAACTGTAATAAAAACTCTCAAATGTATAACCTGTATCGGAGATGAAATATCGCCTGCAGTCCTGAACTCGGTTCAATGAAACCAGTGACCTCAGCACGTGGGTTTCGCAATGGTGCGAAATCTGCACGTGCGTCTCGCAATGGCACGAAATCTGCACGTGCGTCTCGTAGGCTGAGATAATTACACGTTTTGCTTTGACCGACGCTCATTCATTGTACAGCCTGTTGCTGGCGTAGGGATCTTGAAAAGGACATTCTAAAAAGCAGTGCAGCTTGTCAACACCTCTGTAGCCTTGTGGTACACTCACTGGGCTACAGGTATGAAGGTTGCGAATTCGATCCTCGGGAATATAAAGAAAAACATTTGTCATTTGATTTTACATTTCATTACATGTTACAATCTGAACGGAAGTTATAATGATTGTAAAGTTTCAAAAACTCCATGGCGTTACACAAACAGCCAGAAGGTTTATAATGCCTGATTACATCAGTACTCCTGCCATACGACCATTCGTCACCGCTCGCCCCTTTCCGTAACCTGCAAGAAGACTCGTCCCCCCTATGGATGAATATTGTGTGCGAAAATACGACAAACCAATCAGAATGCGCGTATGATTTCAAGTTCTTCGTCAAAGAATCCCTCAGAAATAATTTTTGATTTTACATATGTCTTGCATCTAAACATATACCAAAGAAACAGTTAAATGTGTTCAATCATACTGTATAATTTCGCATGTCCAGATGTGCTTTTAATTGCATCTGAAATATATATAATATATGAGGAAAGATACGTGAACCATTACGTAACGAGTTGACAATTGTTTTAGGTATGCCCGTTTGCGCTAAGACGGAGCCTGGTCGCAAAAATTGCTACGAGAGGGGCACGAGTCGCTCTTCGGCTTGTCCCGGAATAACACGAGTTGGTCACGAATGGCATACGACGTGCGCCTGTGATTGTATTAACTGACAAATGTATTAACTGAAACCTGTTACGGCTCACACCCTTGAACAACCTGTTTCCGGCATGTTGGAGAATCCAGGTCACCACAACGTGGGAGAAGCATCAGGAACACGTATAGTTTTGGGGAAGTGTCCAAAAAAGAATTTCTGTTTACATGTTTGTTTTAATTAATAATTATGTTAAATCACTACCACTACTGCCGTGTCCAGTTAAAGTTCTAGCAATGTTCTCCTTATTTTGTATGACAATGCAGATATCACCATTGATGTAAATATTAAAAAAATAATAAAAATAGTCTTTGAAAGGCGTTTAGAAGTGAGTGTCAGCGTTATTTGGGAGGAAAGCCCGAAGTGATGCAGGTTTCAGACGTTTACCACTTCGGTGAAACCCAAGAGCACGGATATGGTGCTGACAAACCTAGAAATATAATCGGGGCGAACCGGGATTCGAACCCACTATCATAGGTTTTTGGCGGCGCCTTAGACGACTGGGCCACCTGTGAACCCCCTAAACACCTCCTACCCCAACCCCACCCCACCCCAACCCACCCCACCCCACCCCACCCCAACCAACACCACCTGATGAAGGATTAGGCATATACTCCGAAACGTTGAGTTCCTCATCATAAAGAAGTTGACATAAATAAATTCTCTTCCTTAATAAAAATAATGCAATATACTACTTCTAGTACAACAACAAGGTAATAGCATAAAAAAAGCATTATATTCTTATCTGGTTAATATTTAAAATCCCCTGCCTCCAAATACTAACTCCTTATACCCGAATCAACCAAACTGTAATTGATTCTAAGCTATTGTCTATTGAAGGGAAGGAAATTTTTTGTTAATAATTATTGCTCAGTCGTCTGTGCAAGTCGCTGTGCAGAGTTGCGTCCCTTTGGCACTCCAGAAACCTATTATCGTGGTTTCGAATCGCGATTCGCCCCGATTATGTGTCTAGGTTTGTCAGCACCATACCCGTGCTCCAAAGTGATAAACGTCTAAAACCTGCATTACTTCGGGCTTTCCTCCCACATCAAACTGACACGCCGTGATATAACTGGAATACTGGTCAAAGCGGCGTTAAACCAACTCCAAGTTGTTCTCACGAGAAACATGTTACCGTTTTGCCGTATTGGCGTACTTTCTCAATGTAAACCTTCATATTTCTTGGTTGATAAGTCAAACATAACAAAACTCCTCAGTTTTACCCTTGTGTTTACAGGTCCAACCAAATAAGCCAATGAGCGTCCATCTTTCATTTAGCACATAACGTAACACGTTTGAGCCTCATCTCTTCTCGAGCCCCTAAAAAATACGTAATCACGCGCTATATGACGTAATCAAGGTAGACGCTTCAAAGCCCACCGAAGACATCAACGTGTTGGTCAATTGTTGCTGAAGTTATGTTACAAATTAAGCTACACGAGGTAAGATATTTATTAAATAGTGAAAAAGTTCCTTACAACTTACTTTTTTCACAAATGCACCTTATAAAAAAACTTGATCAGATGTTAAGTTTGCATTAGAAGAATTGTATGTACCGAGGGTGTATTGGCTGTTGTTTGTAAACTTTAATGTCATGTGACTGATCTATTTTTAGATTTTGCATCTATTTTTAACGTGACTGTCACGTAGGGGCTCGAAATTCAGAAAGATGGCGCCTGATTGACTCGTCTCGCTTGACAAGATATGGTTATTTCACTATCCAATTGTAAACACAAATAAATGTTCTCAAAGGTAGGTAAGACTTAATTTTAGTGTTTTGCGATTGTTATTAGACACGGAATGAAAAATACTTCTTCGGGGCTTGAAAGCACAGTACGCGATGACACTATAAGGGTAACGCTATCTTTCAGGGCATTATCATTGGCAAAAGCCAGAGGTCTTCCAGAGGTTACCTTTATTTTAGCTAAAATGGATGGAATTTTGTATCAAATAAAAAGAAACAACAACATCGGTTTTGAAACATTTACTGCAATCAACACAAATGTCACTGACCCACGTTTACAAATATGGAAACGTCATAGAACAAACCAGATGACGTCACTATTTAACGTGACGTCACCTATGCCTATCCTATGACGTCACATAACAACGGGCGTGATAATGGCCCGTCGTCAAGCCATATGAGGGCATTATCAAGTTACAGTGGCCCACTGAGTCTTGATAACATGCGGGCGGTTTACTGATAATTCAATCCATTTTAGCTATAATGACAGTTACGCACCGTATGAAGGGCAGCACATGCCGATGGGTCCTGCTTGTACACATCTTCTTCCTGGGTACTTGAAAGGGCAGAAGTCATTGGCCGGGGAACACCCTCGGGGTAGGAGGTACCGCAGCATGGATTCCACGTCTATCCCGTAGGAACACCCCAGCTGCTTTGCCCCGAGGTATGATGGCGACCTTCGGAAGCTTGGCCTTCGTCTCCCAATCATACCAGCCATCATCCCCCCTGGCATACCGCCAATCATACCTCCTGGCATACTGCCCATCATACCTCCTGGCATACCGCCCATCATACCCGATGGCATACCTCCCATCATACCACCTGGCATACCGCCCATCATTGGGGAGGGGAATCCTGGCATCTGTGCTTCGACTGAAAGCAAGAACAAAAGTAATGATTAGCATATGACTACAGATCAACGTATTTATCATATGATGGGTGGGTTTCTCGGCAGGATAAAGCCAACGGTTAAAATCGATATCCGTTGGGGTTAATGCGGATAGAGATGCAAATATCAAAGGTCAAGTAGGGACTACTTTCAGTGTTATAATCAAACATGGCGTCGCCCTTGTCATTCGGCGATCGAGTCAGAATGAACCATCGGGAATCCTCAGAAACTACTGGGATAATTGCTATCATAATCAAAAGAACTGTCTAATATACTGAAAATCAGTGTCTAACTGTGACGTAACTAAGGCATTTTACAACTTTTGGCAACTTTTTAGATATAAATTGCGAAACAATCCCACATCAAGCTGACACGCCGTGATAGAACTGAAATACGTTTCAAAGCAGCATTAAACCCAACTCAATCACTCACTCCTCCTACATCAAGCTGACACACCGTGATATAACTGTAATACTGTTCAAAGCAGCGTTAAACCCCATTTATGCTTCCAGGTGTAACAGTGAATATTTTATGACCGTTTCAGCTACTTTTATCACCTCTCATATGTTCACATCAAGATGGAAAGGGGTAAATGTTTCAAACCCTGAACTGGGTTACATACTACGTCCATTAGCTACGTTGGTTATACACATACATTCCAGGGTGTATCCGGCGATAGACCAAGCGGCGTGAGTTATCCACGCCGAAACCGAATGTGTACTTGCGTTTGTTCATGCCAAAATGATGCAGAAAAGTATACACGTTCTTTTTCTAGACGTAGTTAATTCATCCTCCCGAGGCTAACTGTAAAAGTCCAGTTTTCTCCCTTGCCGAACTAGCCCGTAATTTCTGGGTTCAATCGTAGCGCCACCAGTGAATATTCCGAGTTATGTCCCTTATATATCCCTCTTATTGACCAATCAGATTTCACCTTTGATATTACATGCATTTTCTCCAAACAAAATGCCGGCGCCCGATCAAGACGATCGGATCGATAATCAAGATATGTAATGTAAAACACAGGTCTTACTTCGCGAAGTGCATCAAATCACGTGCGTTGCTAGATTAAAAACATGAAAAGATTTGGTATATACCTGCTGACGCTAAGTTGACGGTGCACATGCTTTGCAAATCCTGCAATCGACCGATATCTGCACGGAAGTTTACGAACCGGATGGGGATTTCGTTACGCGATTTTGTAGCCAAACTATATAACTCCATAATTCCTTCCTAGTTCGACAAGGGTGGAAACTGGACCTTTATGGTCAGTTAATTCCCTTGCCTCGGGAAGATGTAGTTAACTGTGTGATGAATTCCGAAAAGACCGCGGATCCAGGAACGATGCAAATCGTCCTGTTTCAACGAACAGTAACCTACCCTACAGCCAGTTGTTTGCCATGCCTTGTTGTTAACGCCCTTCTGGTTGGTTGAACTGGGTGCATTCGATAGTAATAACTGTACCTTGTCAACAGACATGACGTAAAGGTGGAGTCTTATCAACTGAGATAATCAAAACTTTTGAATTTGTGAAAATAATTCAGGAGTATTCATACTTTCAAACATATAGAGCCCCATACGTTTATCACGTTAATATATTTACATACATCTAAAATCTTATTCAGCAGGGCAATATGGTCAAAAACATCGTATAGAAGAAGAAGTCTTTTATTTGTACTATGGCCACTGGCCCAGGTACAATACATACATTTGAAAAAGTGTGGTATATTAAAAAAAGGTAATGTCAGGTACAAATTTACAGATTTACAGGCTTTTCATAATTACGTCTTCTTTCATAGCTGTAATACGGGTATTTACATAGTTTTCCAAGTAATTGTTAACATGAGGATGACAGCAGTTTTTTTAATTTATGCATATTTGATTTATGCAAAAAGTTGTTGGTAAGTATATTTGTCTAATATCGTTGTAATATTCACTTTCTAAAGTAAAATGATATTCATTCTCTATACTTGTTTCATATATAGGGCATGTTTATCTTTAGTCTTAGTAGCCCGGCTCTAAGCCTTAACATAATATTCGATATTTCAGCAACAAGGGAAAGGTATTTTTCTGGTTCCAGGAGACTTTTAAACTCTTTATACAGGATGTACCTAGAACTAGCCTAGATAGTACTATTCCATGATTGATAGAACATACTTATCAAAACGTTTTTAAAACTATTCATGAATGATGGTTTGACAGCTTGACTGAGCCAAACTACTCCAAATCCGTGAGAAAATAATATTGAACGAATAGAAGAAGCATAGTTATGATGACCACACTTGTCGTTATATACAAGCATATTATAAGATTTTCTTGGTATCCTATCTTGGTCCATTTCAATCACTTTTAGCCAATACTTTACACAATGACACATAGCATTCACATATAGTGGGTATTGACCGCATTCCCCATACACAATAGCATTTGGTGTTTGCAAACCAACGTTAAAAACTTCTTACAAGCCATAATATGCACTTGTTCGATTTTTTCAAATCTGTCTACACCCCATATTTTCGCACCATATAAAAGAATAGGTTGAATCTGAGTATCGGATATTTTAAAGAAAACAGAAGTGTCAACAAAACCAATCTTCCGTAGATTGCGAATATTGCATATGAATGTACAGTTACGTCAGGGAATGTAATAACGAGGTATCTCCAGAGAGATCCTCGTTATTACGCGCATGTCAATTACATTCTGTAACCTTTTATCGTAAATAGGATGAAGATATCGGTATCGTGATACAAGAGTGAGTGAGTGAGTGAGTGAGTGAGTGAGTGAGTGAGTGAGTGAGTTTGGTTTAACGTGTCAGCTTAATGTGGGAGGAAAGCCCGAAGCGATGCAGGTCTCAGACGTTTACCACTTCGGTGAAACCCACGAGCACGGGTATGGTGCTGACAAACCTAGAAACAAAATCGGGGCGAACCGGGATTCGAACCCACGATCAAAGGTTTCTGGCGTCCCCAAGGGACGCAACTCTGCACAGCGAATCGCGGGGCCTTAGTCGACTGGGACCCCTATAGTTATACAAGAAAGAGAGCGACCTTTAAATATACAGCAGAGTGTTTCAATAGTTTAAATGTACATTCCACAAACTACACTGAACAGAAAAAAGTTATATATCATGAGGTGAGGTGAAATGGGGATTAACGTCGCGTCCAAGATTATTGCACTTATATAGCGACGTGCATGTACGAGTATGTGTTTGTGTGGCTGCTTGTACTAGTCCAGACTGATGGCGATTTATAGTGCTAGCTCACTGAGATACCATGCCGCAGTTTAACATGAATACCCCACTCAGACACAGTATACTGACTCCGAGCCGACCAGTCCTTGTTTTAGCCCCTTAATGCCGAGCGCCAGACAGGGTAACAACAAGTACCATCTTTTAACGTCTGTCTTTTATGACGCGGTCGGGGATCGTACCCCGGACCTTGCGCTCTCCGGTCGGACGCTCTACCACTAGACCACGGAGGCGGTCTTGTAAATCAGGAATATGTTTGGAGATCTGTTACGTGGCGAAGACTGAGCAGACAATCTCATAAAAAATATCCCCCAGTTGATGATGTGATTGGGACAGTTGATGATATGGTCCGAGATGGCTGAGCATAAAACCTCCACCATCAAATCCGACAGCAAATCAGCCATCTCGGACCATATCATCAACTGTCCCAATCACATCATCAACTGGGACAACGTCCAAATCCTCGCCAACAACCTCCATGATTTCACCAAAAGAAAACTAACAGAAGCAGTCCACATTCGCCGCCACAACCCAACAATCAACAGAGATCAAGGCTATTTCATCCCATCCGCCTACTATGAACTCATCAAACAATAATCACCTGTTTATTGGCTTCATGCCCCATTGGCTTCTAGCTATGTGTTTTCTGTCCATCGTGTTGTGATAGCATCATCCTTGTTGTCACACCTACCTATGTTATCCCACTCATGTATGCCCTGTTAATCCTCTACTGTTAACCCTCCACTTGCTATATATATTCTGCACTCAGAATATATCCCTCCCGTGTGCGAAATACGCATCAGTCGGAAAGCGCACGTTAAATCTCCAAAGTAAGTAAGTAAGTAAGTATATCCCTCATTCAGTCTTGCTTGACAACGGTATAAGGATCTATACCGAAACGTCGCTTTTTTACAGTATTAAAGAAGTTGTTATCCATAAAATTGTGTCTATCTTGTCATCCGCCAACTTCTAAGTAATGCCTATCAAACAAGTTACTCTCTTTCGCGTCGTGCGTAGTCCCTTATTGAATCGGTTGGTCAGGTCTGGTCCCTTGGTCGATTGCCATGGTATCAAGTTGTTCATACTATCGACCTCTGGTTTGTCAGACATATTTGAACATGCAGCCGTGATACAGTTGAATCAAAACAGCAGGATCGATCAACTAGACTATCAAAAATACTAATTACATTCAATGTTATGTTCATTGTAATGTTAACTGTTAATGTTAACAATTCTGACGTCATACACTTTGGATAAGAGCCACAGCAGCATATTTGACAGTGGCAATACAATATAAAGTCACCACACAACAACATACGTGTATGTCACTTTTCACAGTACAGAAAACTTCTTTCTTCAACAAGAACTGTTATGTTAGCATCAGCCTCTGCATTCTTTCATATGTATTGTAAAAGTCGGTAAGAAGTATAAACTTAGTGCAAAAATATAATGTAGAGTCGCAATCCATTATTAAAAAACAACGAGGGCGTCGGAATAACTCTTGGTCAGTGTAAAATACATCTTTGTATGGTCAGCTTTGTCAAGGACAACTATTTTCTAAATACTTGTAAAATACATCTTCAATTTCGAAATTTAATGTTCTTTTCTTTTTCTTTTATGAAGCTTCACAATTACAATGATGTGTTATCTTTATTCCCAACAGCATCGTGTTTGTAACAAAAATATAATATTAATAAATGTCCATTGATTTTATTTATTCATTTTTTTAAATACCGTCGATTCGTCATATTTTTTTTTTCAAATTATGAATAATATACAAATATGTGTCATTTTTTTGTGCATTTAAAAGACCAGGTCTCAAACAATGTTTGATTCGTATAAATCCGGCAGTATTCTTACCTATGCATGCTGAGACCACGACGACCAAAATGAATGCGGAGAAAGACATCTTCCTTGCTGTGATCCGGCTGAAGTCAGTGGGCGGAATAACTTGTGACTCGCCATCCGGTCCTTTTATCATGGGGGTCGTACTCCCCTGTCACCGCCACGTCAGGCATGCGTCGTACGAAACCGGACCAACTTACCTACACATGCACAACCAACCTCACACGCCACGGGTTTCACGAAAACACAACTCTTAAGGAAACGTGGACATACGGATTTACGGTTTTCACATCAGTGGTTAGAGGGGGATTCATGGCGTCCATGGCAATTTACAGTCCTAACAGTCGTTAAACTCTCAAGTCGTTTAGGGGAGATTACGTGTCTCCAAACTCATTTATTTTTACATCAATCAAGCTAGAAGTATGTGACTGCAGTCATTAAATTTAATGCGGTGTGTCATTTTCACACGGATGCAGCATCTTCCTGACCTAGTCACGATTCTGTCTTATTTTTTGTGTCGTGTTTATTGTTTAAAAGACAGCGACATTCCAGTAACATGACGGCGGTTTATAGATAATCGAGTCTGCATCAGACAATCCAGTGATTGATGCACACACGAGGTTGGTTTGTTTGTTGTTTAACGCCGCACTCAGCAATATTCCAGCTATATGACGGCGGTCCGTAAATAATCGAGCCTGGACCAGACAATCCAGTGATTGATATCATGGGCATCGATCCACGCAATTGGGATCAATGACATGCATCAACCAAGTCAGCGAGCCTGACCACCCGATCCCGTTAGTCGCCTTTTACGACAAGCATAGTCGCCTTTTACGGCAAGCATGGGTTGCTGAAGACCTATTCTACCCCGGAATCTTCACGGGGCGCACACCCGAGGTACAATAACAGCAATCAACCAAGTCACAGTGCCTGATCACCGAGTACCCATGTCATTCCCTCGCACGACCTCGTTAATCTCCGACTAATGAAGTAGCAAAATGCAGTAATACCCATGAGGGTTAAAATATCGTCTTTAAGTTGTACTCAATATTTGCACATAAATATCATATGAAGAGCTCAGAGCCAAAAGGGGCCAAATGCTCTTTGGCCCTTTTAGCATATTATTGCATAAATAGCATCTATGACTTGTTGTCTACCTGTAAAAAAATATTGTATGTTTTCATGGATAATCTTTTGAAATGTAGCGACTTCAAATTCTGTAAAAGGGCCAAAGTCAAGTTCCAAAAGGGCCAAAGTTACTTTAATGGATTTTGGCCCTTTTAGCTCTCATTTCCGTGTGTGGTTGAGACTGGTTGATTTTGTCATCTTATTATTATGTTTCAACTATTTCAAGTTGGCATTAGTTTAAATCATTTAAAAGAGCTTTAATGGTATGTGTTTGTACTTTAAGTAGTAGTTTATCAATCTCACATGTTAAATCTCATGCAAATCCCTGAGGGTATAAAGAGCCAAAATACAGACATTGACCCTTTCCTACCTCAAACAAATTATAAACGTTAGTTTATGTCCCCTTTTGAATGTTTTTTTATAACAGCATTTATGTCTTTGCTGTCAGAATATGTTAATGTCTAGGAATTTATCGCTGAATAAAAAATATTCATGAACATACATATGGTTATTGTTTTCATCACTTTTCTCCAGTCAGACTCCACGTGACATTGGTCCTTATGCCCCTCAGCTCTTCATGAGCACTTTACTGATTCTCAAACCTAATTGGTTGAACTGTTCTGACGTCATACTGTAGCACGGTAGGAGTGAGTGAGTGAATATGGTTTTACGCCGCTTTTAGCAATATTCCAGCAACATCACGGCGGGGGACACCAGAAATGCCCTCTTACACATTGTACCCATGTCGGGAATCGAACCCGGATCTTCAGCGTGACGAGCGAACGCTTTAACCACTAGGCTACCCGACCACCCCAGCACCGTAAGACATGATGTCATCGGAACAGCTTTTCTTAAAAAAACTTTCATTTAATAAATTTAATAATGAGTGAGTGAGTTTGATTTTACGCCGCTTTTAGCAATATTCCAGCAATATCACGGCGGGGGACACCAGAAATGGGCTTCACACATTGTACCCATGTCGGGAATCGAACCCGGTTCTTCGGCTTGACGATCGAACGCTTTAACCACTAGGCTACCCGACCGCCCCTTAATAAATTTAATAAGTTAAAAATGTATATGTTTAAGTTTCTTATAATCACCGTGGATAATAAAAAAAATAACTTACCTTCTTGCATAAGGCGACCGCTGTCCCACACAAATAACTGGAGATGCTCCCTCGTTATAGGATCGAACTTACACCCTTATTTCTTGACGCTCATTGGCTATTCTCTATATTGTTTACAGGCAACGGTATACCCACAGCCTATCATTTCTCTTGTGTGTACTATATCATCAGCATTGCAGTTCTTTGATTAATTGACCGCCTCCTTGGTCTAGTGGTAGAGCCTCCGACCGGAGAGCGGAAGGTCCGGGGTTCGATCCCAGGCCGCGTCATACCAAAAGACGTTAAAAGATGGTACTTGTTGTTACCCTGTCTGGCGCTCGGCATTAAGGGGCTAAAACAAGGACTGGTCGGCTCGGAGTCAGTATACTGTGTCTGAGTGGGGTATTCATGTTCAACTGCGGCATGGTATCTCAGTGAGCTAGCACTATAAATCGGCATCAGTTCGGACTAGTACAAGCAGCCACACACACACGTACATACACGTCGCTATATAAGTGCAATAACTTTGGACGCGACGTTAAACCTAATTTCACCTCACCTCATCACCTCTTTGATTAATTATGGTAATGTACTCTCTACAAGGCAGGGCATAATGAAATATGAGTGTTGTCAGTCGTCAGAAGAAGGATAAGCTTGGATTAACTGATCCTCGTTTAAAAGGTGTTCGGCAACGAGGCTCACTTACACCTTGCCCATTATTAAAGTTTGCTAAATTCTAGAAATGTTATAAAGTAGAGAAACTTCTACAGACATTGACAATAACAAGGATTACATTCTGCTGAACTTCATGGCGAACGGTATTCTCCGAGCAATCACAGGTCAATATGAAGAGACTCCTTTATAAACTTACATTGATTTACATAATTTTTACAATGCAGTAAACAATGAGCCACATTGTTAAATTGAAAAAATAAGTTTTTACAAAATGTACAATTTGCAGAAATGTCTTTATTAAGAATATTGAGATGCCCGCCGAGACCCCAATGTCCGAGACGAAGTTTGGATAAGAGAAACTCTTCTCTTCAATTAGTTCATATCAGAGATATGTAATGTATTAATAAAAAGCTCGAAGCCATGAATATGGCGTCCTTTTAAGAATGATGCCCATGTCTGTTGCCATTGTGTTTTATCATGGCGATTTTTAACGAGGCCTTATTCTGCAGGAGAGTGAGTGAGTGAGTGAGTGTGGTTTTACGCCGCTTTTAGCAATATTCAAGCAATATCAAGGCGGGGGACACCAGAAATGGTCTTCACACATTGTACCCATGTCGGGAATATTTGTACAAGTATCACTTGTCCCCAACTTGATTTAATAAAGCTGTTTTCTATCAAAAATCAAGGGGGGACAAGTGTATGAGAAGTGTATGCACTATACCTAGTAACGGTATGTATGCAACTACCTGCCACCTTGCATGGTTCGCAAACACTCTCAACGTTACCATGACAGAGAAGTGTATGCCCTATACCTTGTAACGGTATGTATGCAACTACCTGCGGCCTTGCATGGTTCGCAAACACTCTCAACGTTACCATGACAGAGAAGTGTATGCACTATACCTAGTAACGGTATGTATGCAACTACCTGTCACCTTGCATGGTTCGCAAACACTCTCAACGTTACCATGACAGAGAAGTGTATGCACTCTACCTAGTAACGGTATGTATGCAACTACCTGCCATCTTGCATGGTTCGCAAACACTCTCAACGTTACCATGACAGAGAAGTGTATGCACTCTACCTAGTAACGGTATGTATGCAACTACCTGCAACCTTGCATGGTTCGCAAACACTCTCAACGTTACCATGACAGAGAAGTGTATGCACTCTACCTAGTAACGGTATTCATGCAACTACCTGCCACCTTGCATGGTTCGCAAACACTCTCAACGTTACCATGACAGAGAAGTGTATGCACTATACCTAGTAACGGTATGTATGCAACTACCTGTCACCTTGCATGGTTCGCAAACACTCTCAACGTTACCATGACAGAGAAGTGTATGCACTCTACCTAGTAACGGTATGTGTGCAACTCTGCCACCTTGCATGGTTCGCAAACACTCTCAACGTTACCATGACAGAGAAGTGTATGCACTCTACCTAGTAACGGTATGTGTGCAACTACCTGCCACCTTGCATGATTCGCAAACACTCTCAACGTTACCATAACAGAGAAGTGTTTGCACTCTACCTAGTAACGGTATGTATGCAACTACCTGCCACCTTGCATGGTTCACAAACAGTCTCAACGTTACCATGACAGAGAAGTGTATGCACTCTACCTAGTAACGGTATTCATGCAACTACCTGCCACCTTGCATGGTTCGCAAACACTCTCAACGTTACCATGACAGAGAAGTGTATGCACTCCACGTAGTAACGGTATGTATGCAACTACCTGTCACCTTGCATGGTTCGCAAACACTCTCAACGTTACCATGACAGAGAAGTGTATGCACTCTACCTAGTAACGGTATGTATGCAACTACCTGCCACCTTGCATGGTTCACAAACACTCTCAACGTTACCATGACAGAGAAGTGTATGCACTCTACCTAGTAACGGTATGTATGTAACTACCTGCCACCTTGCATGGTTCGCAAACACACTCAACGTTACCATGACAGAGAAGTGTATGTACTCTACCTAGTAACGGTATTCATGCAACTACCTGCCACCTTGCATGGTTCGCAAACACTCTCAACGTTACCATGACAGAGAAGTGTATGCACTCCACCTAGTAACGGTATGTATGCAACTACCTGTCACCTTGCATGGTTCGCAAACACTCTCAACGTTACCATGACAGAGAAGTGTATGCACTCTACCTAGTAACGGTATGTATGCAACTACCTGCCACCTCGCATGGTTCACAAACACTCTCAACGTTACCATGACAGAGAAGTGTATGCACTCTACCTAGTAACGGTATGTATGCAACTACCTGCCACATTGCATGGTTCGCAAACACTCTC